AAATTGACCTTTAAATACATGTAATATATCATGAGTGAATGTCTTACCGTACTTATTCATTACTTTACATGTTTGCTGAGTGCGATATTGATAAAGGCGTGCTTCAAAAATGTCACCCTTATCTTTGCTGTCTAATACCTTTCTAATGACAGACGCCATGAAGTTAAACGTAGTGCCAACACCGCCATCAGCTCCGAGTGTCATACCCGCCATGATTATCTTTAAATAAAGAGAAATTGGGAAGGTAGCATATTATAATAATAAAAAAAACTCATGTAAACGTGTATTCTGCTTTTAAGCAACACAATATGCTTCCATGAATTCTATTTTCATAATTGGCGTTGTTTCTGGTTCATGAAGATATCATTACGATTTCGCATGCGGTACTTATATTCTTTCATATAAAATGTTTTGGTTGTCGAAATGAAAAATAATAGAATATTGACTTTAAATCATTTTGACTGGACCAGCGTGAACCTGTTCATGAACCACGGCGATTCTAACTTTGCTTTTTATGGGTGGCAGTGATAAGGACTTAGTAAGTTTATGGACCCGATTTTATCATTTTAATTTTGACCAAGTCTGTGCATAGATGCCAGTGATTTCCAAAGAACCTGTCAACGAAAGTCACTATTTCAAAATAAGCAATCCTTATACTTGTTCGTGATGTCAGTAATTTCAACATAGCTTTTCAATTGACCGAGTCTACTCATAGACACCTTGATTTTCACTGTGTCTTTTTGTAGACATCAATGGTTTTGACCGAGTCTGTTTTTACTGAGGTGATTTTGGCCAAGTCTGTTCATATTCATCCTTGATTTTCACAAGGTCTGTTCGTGGACGTTAGTGATTTTGACCGGTAACTAAAGAAAATGATTAATACAATAAAAACATTTAATTGACTCATTGAATTACAGATTTTAACCTTCAAAAGGAAAAGATTTCATAAGACACTTTGTCTGTCAATCTTATCCTGTTTTTTAAGCATATTTGAAATGCTTTGTGAATATTGTAAATAAATTCTAACATGTATATGTATATACCTAGAAATAAAGTATGTTTAAACTAATATCAAAACAGTAGAAACAGTAGGAATAAAGTGTGTAAAAGCTTAATAAACAACCTGCATGGTCATAGCAGTGTTTTATTGATGTCATTTGCTTTGTCAGAGTTAATTTATGAGAGTAGGCGATGTTCAAGCGATTTTTCAAACAAAATCTGTATTCATAAACAAGAATTACCTCGTCATATCCAAACATCATGTTGAACTTTCCATCATCTCTATTTGGTGCTGGCACATGTACGCACCCAATAAGGTCTACCAAATCGGTTGAAGAAAATTTTGCACCCACAAGAGAAGGTATTTCTTTAGCAGCAACTTTCAAGAAGTCTTCAATGCAAACTTAGGAACAGAAATAACAAAACAATTAAAAAGACCTATCATTCAGTAAGGCGTTACAGAAATATTTAAGCTGCGTTTAAATAATACTGTTACTGCATGTCACAATATAACAACAAAAACACCGTGTATATCCAGTATCTTTCTCACGAATGACCTAAGAAAGTAAACAAATTCCTGAAAAAATGTAACGTTGCTTAAAATATAATGTCGTAGCAGCCGTATGTGCTAATTCATTTCTTTAAATTTGATTTACAATAACATATTTTGGTTCGTTTACTTACTGGTTTATTCGTTCTGACAATAGCGTTGCACATATTCGGCGTTACTTTTACGTTAATTGCACATTTCTGCGTTACTGGATAAGCACGTACAGGCTCAGTCAAAGCTTGTAATTTGCAGCATTGGGTTTTCTGTGGGGATTCCGTTAATATCGATTTTGAACATAAATTATCATTGAAATACGTTTCGGTTCATTCAAATGTGATAGTTTTTAGCACGGTATCAGTTTTACAGCTAAGCAACCTTTTTTGTTGTGTATTAAAGAACACATTTTTATCCGACACAAAATATCTAAAAGAATCAAATAGATACAATGAATAAAATATAAGCTAACTTACGTTCTACACCAGTTGCAGCAGGTAAATGGTAGAAGTAGAATGGAAGGTTCGGTGCAGCGCTCGCAACTTCCTTACAATATTTAACAAGGTAGTCTGAAACAAATAAATGCAATGAAGTAATTCTTAGTTTTGAATTCTTTTCAATTGTTTTTATGTTCTAATTGTTTGTTATCGGATAGTATCAAATGATACACGTGCTTTTTTATATCATTATAAACAGGGTTTCAGGATTATACATGTGATTGATTTGTTTTAAGTTTATTACTGAAAAATAATGATATGTACTCTCCGTGTTTCATATGCTTTCAGTAAATCTACAAACATTCTTTTTGGAGGACTCTTAAGAGATCGTTAAGACAGGTTATAGCAATTAAATGTTGTATTTAAAGTTATAAATATATGCATATTTCATCACATTTAATGTTACTGCTCATATAAAATAAAAAGCGCTAATGTGACCAATTTGTTTTGTTAAGCTAAGGCCCAAAGGTAGCCCTTATTTGTAGAAGCACAGATTCAAATGACTGAAGAGAAATACATCCTATGTCTAACTATGCATCCAAGTTTTTTATTTTTCTTCCTAAAGTTACATTTTTTTTTTATATTTGTAATTGAGTCGTCTTTTAATGTTAAATTAAATGTTTTAAAGACTTACCCACTGTTTTGGGCTTAAAGAAAAGTGGCGGTACCGTGGCTATAGCGTCCGCCCCGACCTTCACAGCATGCTCAGCCTAATGTAGATATATACAGACAGGAATTGTGACAAATATTGGATCTCTAACATTGAATATTGAATAGTATTTTAACAATTGCTAAGATATATGGACTACTTTACCTTGTGTATGAAAATCAAAAGTGCTTCATCCCGACATTATTTACACATTTTGTTATTTTACGAATTATTTGGTATAGTTCTTTCTAAATGATGGATAATTTGTTGTAACTTGCTAGTATTACTTGTCAGTATGTTTTATTGCAGACTTACATACAGTTTTTCATGATAATTATGATGATATTTTGACTTTTTTTAAAACTAGAAGGTAAATTGTAAATATTACCTCATAAATTTAAGGATATTAACGCAAAGGTTGATAACTAACATAAGTAAATTCAAAAGTTTGAGCCGATCAAAAAAGTACATGGAATTGAAGAATTTAAATAACGAAGTATCAAATACTAAATTGGAGTTGGATTAATTAAAATAAGTTTTAGTTATCAAGTTACCAATACGATGTGTCCTGCTTTAAATGATTACATGCCTTACTTTCAAAGACAATACGTATAAGAAGTAAATGATCAGTACTTTACCATAGCTTTTGTATCATGAAGATTCAAGGCTCCGACTTGTACCACGATGGACTTTATTTTTCCGCTGTGAATTTATCAAACATAAAATTTTAGTTCTCATTGCGTCACAAAAAGATGCAATGTCAGATGAGGATAGATTAATCAAATTGCTTCATGAAGAAGTTGCAATCTGAGTTTAGAATTGCGAAGTGAAATATTAAGAAACATAGACCAAGCATTTTTTGTCTTATAACTTGCGATATTTGAAATACTTGCAAATTTTCGACCAACCAGTAGTTATATCATTCTAAGTAAATCTTTCGTTTAAAATATCTGCCGACATAATCGTCAAAACCATGTATCGCTATAAAGAGTTATGAATAATGTAAACGAATGTATCTACACAATTAAGTATGTCAAAATGTAACGCTATTTTGACTTTTACATGTGTACCCATCATTTACTCTTGAATGGAGGTATAGTCTGATTTTATTGACCTGTCAATTATAAATACATTACAGCACTTATTTAAATATTCGATTTCACCTCGAGTTTACGAGAATTAATATGGAGTAAATATAACTAATGCTTGAAAAATTCACACTTGTGTAATGTTTATGTTCTCATCACATCCGCAATAGCACAGTCGGTTAAAGTGATAACCTCATATATGAGAGGTCAGTGGTTCAATCCTTATTTTCGTAATTGTTTTTAGACCTTTTTATTTTTTACTTTTAAGTATATTTTAAGGAAAATGGCCAAATGCTTGCAAAGTTGTCTACGCGGATATAAAACAATTTTAGAAACACTGATTTGTCACGTTTTGTATTGTATTTTACGACACTGAAATGACATTTATTGATTTATTGATTTTAATACGAATTAATTTTAAATATTAATCATTAAACTATGTTATTTAAAAAAAGGAATAGTCTTTACCAAAATCAGTGTAAAACATAGTATGAAACCAAAAAGACATCATAAAACATCATAGCTTCAATAATGTAGAAAATAGTTATAAATAAAGTACGGACTTACGAGGTCTCGATTTTATAACACTTAGGACATTTAGAAATTATAAAACTGCAGTTTACCCTATTGCGCTATAACGGTCAGCGTGATAATTTCGTTGAAAAATTTGAATTTAATCACACCTAAATACTCACATCTCACGAAATTCACCACATTATTGTGTGCATTGACCGTATAATCAGTATGCAATTGACAGGTTAATAAAATCAAACAGTAATGTTATTTTAGCAATAATATAAGTTTTTTGACGTTATCTCCTTAAAATATCATCGTTATTGTGCCGTTCACATTATGATATTGTCAAGCTTATTTGCATAACCTTTTGTTACCGTTATCATTAACTTTATACTTATAACTCTCGTTGCATGAGTTGTATCTATATAAGGAACAAAACCATTGCTACAAAAATAACATCCTCGTCATCAGAACTTTGAATTCTAATTGGAATAACTAAATTCAGTTGATTCTTTTAAAAAAACTGGTACTTAACATAAATGAAATAAGGAAGGAATTCAGTGAATTATATCGAAATCACATTGACCCATTGTCGGTGCCTTTATTTGTCGAAATCACAGTTATATGTCCCCCAGAGAACTTTTTTCAGTAGGAGCTACCAACGCCGAGACATAACTTTGTACTTTTGCCAAATTACTTCTTAAATAATGAGTATGATGCAAATATAATTAAACGCGGATGTACCGGAAGTTGCTGGAATGTCGTACTTTTTTGAGTTATGAGAAATTTATAACATGCTACTGCTTTAGAAAAAAAATATTTACGAAAAATGGCTTGACTTAGGTGTCAAGTGTTGTTTGGTAGTTGTAACAAGTGCCCCGTATTTCACTTAAGAGTTGTTACATTTTTCTGGTAGTTCGGGATCAGAGCCAGTGTTAGGGGGCGTGAGGGATGGTGCACCTTTTCGTTATCTATTATGTACAGACTCAATCAAACCGAGTATACAATTTCCATGCAATTTGGTAGTGATTATTTGCTTGCGTGGGAAAATACTGTATCCAGATTTTTTTAATTATTATAACGTAAAAAAGACAAACACTTAAAGACTTCGGCAAGTATTAATGTGCTTAGTTTTTCTTCCAGGTTTTCACATACCTCTTTTTCCCGACTTCAATCCACTTCTCTACAATCTTTTTCCTTTCTTCAAGAGTTAACGAAAATCCTTCTCCGGTTGTTCCATTTACTGAAATGCGAGGTCAAACACGGTAGAATTTTCAGAATGTCAATATCTAGTAAATGAAGACTGTATTAATGGTTTTGATACAGAAAATATCATTGTATCTATAACAGCAGAGCTACTGACACAATTTATATATGTTAGGCATATGTCTTCGATAATGCTATACTAATATGTAATATGTTATAATACGTCTTACTTTGTTTTTCCTCTATCAATCACACTAGACAATGATCAAATTAGGACTTGACACATGAAATGTTTAATAGATTAACAAAACAACAAGTCATATTACAATAAGAGTTTTCTACTTCTCTTTGTTTTTAAATATAAAAGGTAATTAATTCCAATTTAATCAACATACAAAACATGTCTGTATATTAAGGAACACTTTTGTTTTATGCTATATAAAGATAGCTTACCATATATCTGGGTCATTCCTTTGCTTGTTAGATGGTTACAATACATTTCAAACTTGTCGTAATCGACATCTCTGTAACGAGTTATGTCAAAATCATTATTGCCATTTTATGCAATAGCATACAACAATATTTTCTACTTTAAGCTTATGTTTGTCTCGTTGCAATCCATTGTTAACATGTTAACATGCTAACTAATTGAATCTTTATACATGTGTATTGCCCTTTGTGGCGTCAGAATTGAAGCAACCGTTTATCCCCGAGTGATCATAAGAGGATGCTTAATATTTCAAATAACAGTCTTTGCACTTTTAGCTTCAGCAGGTTATGTGGTTTTGACACTTGGTGTTGCTTTAAGTTTGTAACACCCGAAGTTAGCCAAAATCATATTTTCTGTTTATGTGCCATATGACTAAAACGGTGTTGGTGCGCCGTAAAACAAACTAAACAAACATACACTAAGGTTATTGACGACAGCCAAAACATAGTCAAAAGGGTTCGAATCCCGACAGGAACTTTGGATTCTTTCATGTGAGGAAGCTATCCAGCTAGCTTACGGAACGTCGGTGGTTCTTCACAGGTGCCAGTTCGTGCCTGAAATAATGCACGGAAGGGCACCTGAGGTTTTCCTCCACAAGTAAAGCTTTAACGTCGCCATATGACCTATACTGTGTCGGTGTGACGTTAAACCTAAACAAACAAACAAACTTACCCATCTTTGGTCATCGGTGTAAACACCGCGGGGACCAACCCTTCCAGCTTGAATGATCCAATCTATAAGTATAACACACTTACATGATAAAAAAGTATAAATTATAGAATAAAACATATCTAAATTGTTTAAATGCATTAACACCGAAATCAAGTCATTCATTAAATATTATCTTGTATCTATTTTATTGATTTCATATTGAATTGATTTATGCCGCATTTTTCCCCATTTTCTTATAAATGTATTGCATTGTTTCATTACTGATGCTTTATGAACCACAACATGCACACAAGATAACTGAGAAGAAGTTACTATAAAGAAAATTATAACTTACCGTAGACATATATGTCTATTCAATATTATGTTTATATCCTGAATGAATGCATATACCTATGACTATAGCCGTATGAAGTAATCTTGATAAACATTTTACCCTACATTTCTTTTGTAGTTTATCTATTTTTTCTACTTACATGCGATAGTGATCGCGCATCTTTAAATATCATTTGAATTACAGATGAGCCAAAATATTCTTGAGAATAATGTACAAAGATTTTAAGAAAAGTAAAAAGATTTAAGATTCAAGTAATAATTCACATGTTATGTGCGATTAAGGAATGATATTGCAGTATTTATCACCATAATTATTTCTACTGCGTTTCTAACGCAGTAAGGGCTTTTTTGCTTATTTTAACCTTTTTTAAGGTTATTTACGTCGATTGTAAGTGCTGTTTGCAATGTGTAAATTATTTTCTTTGACCACTTCACAATACCTGGTAAATACATTTTTCAAATTTAAAATTTTAACTCGTAAGAAAGGGTAATTATTGATTTTATAATGTTTAAATTATAATGGTTTAAGAGAATATAAGATCCTTGTTACCTGAAGAAAATAGCGATATATATGAAATAATTAGTCATTTAATGTAAAACAAAGTAATATTTTGACATCTATACAAAATACTAATTCACTATTATAACTGCATTTATTGCCAAAAAAGCAAACAAAAAGCAATAATTATGGTTCAGGTAATTGGCCAATGAGTAACATTTTGAATGCTATTAAAGTACACCGAAATTAAAAAGCTTTCTAGAAATGAGAATGAAAGCATTTCCGATGTATAATAAATCTTTAAATAAAGGCTTCCAATAGATCTGTAATTGGTCCGCTGAGTCAGTTATAGAAGAACTTTGAACATATATGTTAAGCTTGAGCTTAATATGACAGTGCCAAGTGCCGCGTATCCCCATAATGCATGACATCAATTCATTTTGCATCCTGTCTTGTACAACAACTTTCAAAGAGCGGAGTTCTGGCTCTCCATTATGATTATCATCGAAAGCTCACTTATTTTTAATAAACCTGATGACGTAAATTTTCTTAGATCGATAGTCAAAGTGTTCCATTACCACGGGGGGCGGAACCCCATATGTATTTCAAAAATGAGCATCGGTAAAACTTATATGTGAATTTCCGCTGCACCAGGTTTGACGCATAATACCAGATGTGACTGTAAAAACAGGTCAATCGCAGGGTAAGTTTTCATCTTTTTAAACATTTATTTAAAATTCAATCCTTTTTTTTAAGAAAATCGATATTATTAATATATAATAATATATAAGTTAGATATATAACTAAAACAAACTTGATAATGACAACGTCTCTGACCCCACTCTTGACCGCTCTGTCACAGGAAAAGGACATTTTAGCCGCGTCACGACAAAACCAATCAAAAACAAAACCAAAACGCATCCGCGCAGTCTTGTCAGGATCCATGCTGTTCGCTATCAGTTTTTCTACTTGTTATAGGGCTGTAAGCGAACAACATGGATCCTGATCAGACTGCGCGGATGCGCAGGCTGGTCTGGATCCATGCTGGTCGCAAACGCATTGTGTTGGTTTTGTCGTGACGCGGCTCAAATTTTATCGTCATTGGTACGGAATCGATACTTTCATTTATATCGAAATTCAATTATTTAAAAAGTAAACAAAGATTAATATTTTGACCAAAGAAACGAACGACTGAATTATTAATGAATAATTTTAATGAACGAAATGTGGGTGATCCATTCTTATGAAATTTGAAAAGACAAAATGGACATAAATCAAAATTGGCTTTTTAAAGCAGAATCTCTTCTGTTTATTTTGCTGGCCTATTTTTATGGTAAGTCTCTTTAGTTATTAATTATCAACCAATCATTTTCTTTCTTGTACATTTGTAACTATGGCAATATGGTATTATGAGCAAATACATGTTAAAGCAATAAAACTGAATGGCGAAAATAACAAATCTTACAAAATGGTAAATATATAACCTTTGGTAAAAAAAACTTGTTATATGAAAATAGATTTTTGTATCGTACATATATGAAGCAATTCAACAGAATGTTTTAGTCGCATTGCTTTTATCCATAAAATTCCTCGATACGTTTTTTTTTTTTAATTATTTGCGTATTCAAATTACTTATAGAATTTGTTTTTGGAAATAGCTTGAGAATTATTCGATTATATACAGTATATACGGTTATTGCATTTTAAAGGCTAAAGGCGGGAAAAACAAATAAAAACAAAGTCAAGTATTAGAAATATAATTACAGCGTACTGTGTGTCTAAAGGTTTTAAATTTACGGATCGGCATATTGTATAATAATAATAATAATTTATGATAACAATTATTATTATTATGACTATTATTATTATTATTATTATAATGATGATGATGATGATGATGATGATGATGATGATGATGATTTATTATTATTATTATTATCATTATTATAATAATAATTATTATTATTATTATCATTATTATTATTATTATTATTATTATTATTATTATTATTATTATTATTATTATTATTATTATTATTACTATAATGATTATTGTTATGGTGATGATGATTATTATTTTTTTTATCATGATTATTTTTATTATTAGTATTAATGGAAACGAACACTATAAACGGAAAAAGTTAATATCTTGTTCACTTTATTTTCATAAAGGTTTGGTACAATAATTATGTCAAAAAAACAAAAACAAAATGAAGAGAGAAATCAGTCAAAGTATATCGAAATCAACTTCAATCATGTGAAACTTCAATCCGCGATTTCACATCATGATACAACAAAACTTTTCTTTTAAAATGGATAAATTCATTCATAAGTTTACATCTATTAAATAAGGCAAGTAAAAAGGGAGGCTAAAACTAATAATCAAAGTGCTGCAGCACTGAATGCGACGGACATGCAACCGGAGAGACATTAAGGCTTCTTTTAGAAAAAAACAAAACAAAACAAAACAAAAACAAAACACAAAATATATAGAGAAAATTTGTTCCATACAAGTTCGAGATTTGTAGAGCAATATATTTTGTGTCCCAAATTGATATAATTCAGATTTTCGATTTCAAGCACTTAAATACAGAATGAAATTTATGCCTAAAAACTCTGGTCAAACTTGTAAATCAGTGTCCTTATCGATTTATTCTAAGAAATGATATGTAAATAGAAAAAAAAACTATCAACGAAATATTTCTAGAATAAATCCAGGCAAATAAACTTCAAACAAAATACATTATACATTTGAGAATGCTATTTATAATTGCTTCGTGTTATATCATAGTGGGCATACAGACAATAAAATATAAGTCATTTGTATTTTTATTTCTCTTGGATATGTCTCATTAAAAAAAATTGGTTAAAATCATCAGCAATTAATAGTGTATTTCTTAGATTTTTTTTATTTACAAGGTTAAGATGTAGAGGCCAGAGCACATCGTTTTTATTTTAATTTAAATGTCACTTAAGCACTACAGTGTTTAGTTGTCCTTTTCAACTTCACACTAAATTCCATTTTCAACTAGTTTGCTTCTTACAATTGTATAGCATTTCTAAAAGTATTGCATTACAATCCGCTGGTTTATTAATTACATGTTTGATGTGTACTTCCTAATCGCCTGTCCAAAAATCAGAACAGGTGAAGCAGAATCTATTTTTAGAATAGCGAAGGTTAACTCATATCATGACCTAGTAAAATATGTAAACAAACCACAAGAATCGGAAGTAGAACTGATATTATAACTTCCTTATTATGAAAGACTACATGGCGGTAAAGTGTCTTACATGCATTTTCAAAAATAGATATTTATACTAACCATTGTACTGTATCTAATATATTAATAACTGCTGAATATTCAGCTAAACCCGCGGTATGAGTCACGAAAATAGTTCTTCTTTTATTAATGCGCGAGTTATCCTAGAGTCACGAAAAACTTTTGATTTGTTAATAATAATGTTTTGTATAATGTAGAAATATTTATTTCCTACTAATAATGTCTTGGAACTCAGAGGTTACACCTTTATTGTAGTATAATTTGCTGTCCTACTTTTTCGACAGCGGTAAATCGTTTCAGCAGTAATTTGCATATTGCGCAATAATACTACGGGACTGCAACGTTTTTATCAATAATATACGTTCATATTTTAACTTGGATAACTTAATTTGAAATTGAAAAGGCTTAATATGGAAGACATTAAGATATCCAGACAAAGTATGGGAGTTTTGAAGGATCAAATTCATGTACTATTTCTTGGGCTGTTAATTGGTTTAGGACACATTGCGCGATAGTAGCCAACGAAATCCCATGTGTAGATGACTTAGCTCTGAACGCGCCTGAGGGCGCGTCCGTCGCAAAAATCGTAAAGGTTATACCATGTCTAAAACCGGAGGTTAATATTTATATATTTATATATTTTAGTTTGAGCAATGTAACTTCTTGTTCTTGACAAAATAACGATTGTTCCGATAAAAAATACGTTTGGTTATTGAAAACAATTATTATATCGTAAATTACAAGACAAAATGTAAGAGAAGTTCTGAATATGAAAAAAAATTATCAGATATTAAAAGAAAAATCAATAATCAATAATGATATTCAATCGTGTCAGCAGAAGCGATCTTGTCAGGAAAGTGCACTCTTCTGAAATGGCTTAAATAATGTTCAAAAGAATTAATAAGTGTTTAAAAAATGGTCAGAAAATTTTTTAAGCACAGTGGCTATGGGCGAGATTTTACAGCCGCCACGATGCACCATAACAAAGTTTGTTCAAATAGAGACAGATAATGGCTTTAATCCTATTTGCTTATTTGTTTATTACTTTTTTATATTAAACTATTCGACAAATAAGTCATATGCTTATGAAATATCAAGACCATTAAAGTCGAATTATTATCTATATTAAACCGCCAATATAAGCAATAAACCAGACGGAACGAAGTTAACGAACGACGCAGAAAAACTTCAAAATGATCAGTACTGTCATTTAAACATTATTTACAGATCGTTTATTAGAAATTTAAACAAATATTATGCTACAAATTGGGTAAAACTTATTGGAATTTCTAACATAGTATATTATATAAACGAATATAATGCTGCAAATTGAGCAAACGTATTGGAAATTCAAATGAGAATTATATGAATAAATATATATTAACTGAAAAAATCGATCGATTTGTATTAGTCATTAAACAAATATGAGAAACAATGATAGTTTAGCTGACTTTCTAAAGCCATTTATCTTTGCCATATTATTATGTTGCAGTTGAACATTCAGCTGAACAGATCACATATCTTTTTTAACAGGTTAGATATGTAACGCAATGATTTTTTCCCGGGTTCGATTTCCGGACAGCGCAGGTCACATTCGTTGCGATTGATCATAAAATTCTTTTCTACGGTCATTCGCACTGTATCTCTGCTCTGGTATGTAGAGAAGTTTCAGTTTCTTGCGATAGTGAAGGCAACTAGTACTGGTAAACTGTTTGACAGCTTGCTCAGGAACGATGCGGTGGTTGAACTTCAATGTGGCTTAAAGCCATGCTCCGGAGTAAAAACTACCAACGCCACCGCCACCACGCAATGACTTTTCTCAAACAGCAGTGTTTAATACAAGACATTAGCGAAAGTCATGTTTTTCAAGTCTGGAAACGATATGGACAGATTTATTTTCCAAATTATATAGCAAACTAATATTTTATATGGCGCATAAGTATTATCAATAATAAAAAGGCGGTGGGATTTTATATAGGTGCAATCCAAATCTTCATTGTTTTGTCGCCTTAGTTTCACAAATGGTAGACACTTTTACAATAATACCTTTCTAACATGTCTTGTTTAATTTTTTATAAAGTATTGCGTTATTTTGTAACGGTTAGTAAAGATAAGGACCCAAAAGTACAACAAGCAATGACCTACTAACATACGTCAATGATTTTAGTATGAATGAAAGTTTACTTTTATCTATTTTCAGACATTTCATTCTGTTCAACAACAAGTCCGGGAAGTACATTCACAACAACAACGACGTCAACAGTATCACAAGTACCAACAACACTTGCAACCAAATTCGAACCTCACGACAGTTCTAAAGTCTATCTGTTCGCAGGTATTTTTCTTGCGGCAGTCCCGGCACTTGTTCTTTGTATGTGTCTTGTTCGATCGCTCATATCACACCGCCGTGAGAAACGAATTACTGACAATGAAGATGCAAACTTCCAGCACCCACCACCGTCACAGCCAGCTCCGAGACCTTTCCTCCAGCGTGATAACACCATTGCCGGTCCATTTAGGAACCCAGCATTTGATGACGTCACTGAAGATTCCGATGAACGCTCAGGGGTTGTGACGCCATCGTTTGTTTCGACACGCGTAGTTGATGAACCTGGCTTCGGTATACCAACTCCGCAGAAAAAGTACAAATACATTCCTTGAAACCCCACGATGTTTTTACTGAGTAGATTTTAAGATTTACGAGGACAAAAACAGAAACAAATTGACACTATAATAAACAGTTATTTTAACAATAAACAGTTATAATATTGAAGAGAACAAAAAATTGAAGCAAATTTTAAAAACGCTTTCTTTTATAATCTAGTGTATCAAGTAATAAATGAATATTTCAAAACAGCACGTCTGTATATATAAAAAAATAGTATACAATTGAATATTAATATTAAATTCAATGAATAAAAAGTATATAAATCGTCTCATTTAGACGATATTTTACAGTAGCGGCTGAGTAGAATAAGAAATTTGGTTAACATTAAACCCACGAATAGACATTTATTCGTAATATAAATGTATATAATTCTTCATTTCTACTTTTATTACAAAATTGGATATTCTGAATTTAAAAAATCGAGAATCTCAGGACATCTGGTTCCATATATGGCTACTTTGGTACCATATATTGAAGAATTGGTATCATAAAATTATAATGTAATAACCAATTTATATATTTCTACTTTAGATGTCTGAAGATGTCATAAGATGTCTTAAAGTTCATAGCATTTTTAGCATTTAATTGTTCAAGCGCATTGTACGGTATATACCGGAATACGGTATTTAGTGTGGTGCTCCAACTTATGTCTAACTCTAACAAAAAAGACTAATTATAAAAATCACAACTTTTGACATGTTGCCAGAAAAACAGCTGGTTGCGGGTAGAACAGTTGTGCGCACTTTTTGACAAAAGTTGCACAAACGTCTTGTGTAAGTGCTTTTCATTTCTGCAATCGATTGCTGCAAAATATTTTATAGAAAGTTGTGTCTACAAAAAGTGAAATTAAGAAAAGAGATAACATCTGTCCAACCTGCAACCATCAGTTTAACATGTAATCGGTTAACGGGTTTTAAGAAAGGTTCGATAACCACACCCCACCCACTCCCTCAACCCCCAAAATAAAAAAACAAAACAAAAAAAAACCCAAAAAATACCACAACAACAACAAAAACAACAACAACAATAATAATTTGGGTTTGAACACTGTCGCTGGAATACAATACAATATATTTAATGTATTGTTAGTTGTACATTACAAATCTATATTGACCTTTACAGAAAAATATTTGTTATACGATATCCTTGTAATATTACATTGCAAGTAATGAAAAACATATGAGGCCAATTCTGTCTGGAAAGAAATGCTGATAAATATTTGTCTTTTTTTTTGTGTGTGTGAAAGTGAGATTGTTAGGAAAATATCATCAATGTTGACATTTAAAATGACAAACCTAATGATCTCTTGTCTACGGTGGCACAGAGGTGACATGTGTATGTTTTTGTTTATCTCGTGCGTACAAGATACTATACTCAACATCACTAATTCTGCGTGATTTTTCTTTTATTTCACTGTAATGACATATTTTTTATGTGACCAGTGTTGATATTTTTTAACATATTTTATTCAAACACCTATACAACAAAGTTTTTCTGCATCTAGATTTTTACGTAAAGCAGAAAAACATTTTACAAACTTCTGCAAAAAACAACAATAGTTCGTCAAATATGTGCATACGTCTGAAACAATCATTATTTACTAAATGTTCTTGTTTGAAGGAAAAAATAAATTTTCAGTTAGAATGTAAAGATACTTTTCATATTTAAATTATGCAAAATAACATGTAGAAATTTTAACTGAAACATGAAAAAAACTGAAATTAAACACCATTACCGCGATTTAAATGATGATATACTGTTTTCAAAATGGCCGACAATTGGTCTACATGTGGCTCATTTTAAACTGATTTTGACTAAATATATTGTTGTTTCCTTGTGTCATACAGCAAAATACCTAAATGTTACAGCTTATGACAATTTTTGTACCATAAGTTTTATGTGTTGTTTTCCTTCTTGCTTCAAATTGTGAACTAAGAGGATCACAGTATATATAAGTAGTGCGCACTAGTAACCAAGTAGTACGCACGAGATAATTAAGTCGTGCGCACTACATTTCATGCCAATCAGTTTGCCATGAGCAATATTCCTGCCAATTAACATAAACAATGGCCTATTTAAGAGGCAGTGCAGTATCATAAAGGCGAGGCTCTAAGATTTCCAACGAACCTTATACCGCAGTATACATAGGCATCTGAGTAAAGGTGTTGAACCCGGACCATATTAATTTACAAATAAATGTATCATTAAAAGTAATGGCTGAAATTGCTCGAGACCTTGACAAATGAAAAGGCAAAGACAATGTTACAAGAGCTTTTTCATTGATACATGTATCAGGTCGCGCTGTGCTTTATAATTTCAATACCTCTTTCCTGGATAAAGTCCGATAAAAGCATGAAAGAAAGATGTTCCCTCGGATGCATTTATCGCAACAAGATGACATGAAAATAAGAGACTCGATTCCATTGAGTCTGTTATCATGTCACTATTTTAGAAAGCAACACAGATCACAAAAACCACTGTACAGATCGACATGTCGTTGTATTCGAAAGTCAATCTGCAGAAGTCAATTCTGATCATTGTGACCAAAATGTCAATTCACTCTGTTTTATTGTTTGTTTGTTCGTTTGTTTTGTTTTTTTTCTGTCAAGAAAAACATTTTTGTTTAAGCAAAATACCAAAAGCTCTTTAAACTCTAATCGGGATATCGATGGAATAAATACCGCTTTTCATTTTAATTCTGAGTATATTTCTCTGCCTTTTTCATATTTATTTGTCGTTAGCGGTCCCAGCTGATCTATGCGAGATTAAAAAAAAAAATTTTTTAGGCTTCTAGATTTTAAGGAACTTCACTGAGGTTCAAAGGATAAAACAAATGTAAAAGATAAAATTTTGAAGATCTCACAAATATCAATAGAAACATTTAACAATTCTGCAAAGGACAACAAGGATATATACTTAAAATTAAATGGAAAATCGAATTTTGTGCGTTTCTTGGGATTTAAGTAATAATAATAATAATATCTTTATTTCCTCCAAAAGAAGAGCACAATTGATTACGGTGGCACAAAGGTGACATGTGTGTGTTTTTATTTATCTCGAGATAGCTAAGTCGTGGCCACGAGATACTATGTCGTGGCCACGAGTTACTAAGTCGTGGCCACGAGATAGCTAAGTCGTGGCCACGAGTTACTAAGTCGTGACCACGAGTTACTATGTCGTGGCCACGAGTTACTAAGTCGTGGCCACGAGATAGCTAAGTCGTGGCCACTAGTTACTATGTCGTGGCCACGAGTTACTTAGTCGTGGCCACGCGATAGCTAAGTCGTGGCCACGACATACTATGTCGTGGCCACCAGTTACAAAGTCGTGGCCACGAGATAGCTAAGTCGTGGCCACGAGATAAATAACCAATCAGATTACACCATTTATGTGAATTTCCCTAATTAGCTAGACATGTGCTATAGTACAAGGATGCCCCTTCTTCACCAGCCTGTAAAAGTGCCATTTATACAACTTATTGATTTGTCAATAATTTTACATTTAGCGTCACTGTGACCCTGATTTTTGACCCAATGACCTCAAAATTATTAAATGTCATCTACTGATCAGGTGCAATGATCTTTCTGGGTTACAGTAACCATGGCTTATCCTTTCTAAATTATTCATCAGACAAGGATTTTATCTTATAGGCTATTTACTGTCCATGGGCAATGTCCCTTACAAATAAAATAAACCAGGACTTATTCCTTCTCATGTTATCGTATAAACAAGTTAAACAGGCCGTAGTACATACAAACTGACCAATTCGATCACAAACTTGCCCAACAAAGAGCTATAGTCAAAATTAATGTCTGATGTGCCTTGGAAGGTGACTTTCTAATATGATCTTAATGACAAGTTCAAAGTGAATACCTTCAGTATTTTCAAAGAATAATGTTGAATTTAAAAGAAAGTTGTTAAGTTTAAAAAATTCATAACATATATAGTGTATTCTGATTGGTTAATTATCTCGCGGCCACGACGTAGCTATCTCGTTCCCACGACATAGTATCTCGTGGCCACGACTTAGCTATCTCGTTGCAACGACTTATTAACTCGAGGCCACGACATAGTATCTCGTTGCCACGACTTAGCTATCTCGTGGCCACGACTAAGTAACTCGTGGCCACGACATAGTATCTCGTGGCCACGACTAAGTAACTCGTGGTCACGACGTAGCCATCTCGTGGCCACGAAATAAATAAAAGCACACACATGTCACCTTTGTGCCACCGTAATTGATACACAATCTTGGAAAAATATTTCAAGTTCCATCATGGCAAAAAACCACAGTTGAGTCCCTTTAGGATTAGCTCCCTTAGAGTAGTAGTGCCGCAACTTGCTGAAGTCAGTCTACAGAAATCAATCAAAATAATTTGTTGAAAATTAGCATTCGGGCACATGTTTTCCCTTCAAATGTAATAACACAAGCAAACCTACGAAACATTTTTTATTCAAAAAAGCAAAGGTAACAGTGTAAAAAATATTATCAAAATAATTTCCAACAATATTTGAAGCAAAGTTATCACATATATAGCGATTATAAAATGTAAAAAGTATGAATGCGACATATGAATTTAATGAGAATCTTTTTACAGAGGTATAAATATATTGTAACATTATATATACCTACAATTTTATTGGGCAAAAGGACGGAATCACATTTGTATCATGAGGTCACGTGTGACAAGTCTTTATAAAAAAATGTGACTTTATAATTTAAGATTTTTAATAATGGTTTTAATATTGTACATATTTCTCGTCAATTCATGTGAAAATATTGTTGTTCAAACTGAATATTTTGATATTTTGACATTTTGAATTGTGTTCGTCATTATATCTTAAAAGAACATTATTCTTCAAACAGTTACAATGAATTTATTTTTAGAAAAATTATGAGCATTTCATTGGGTCACATGATGTAGATTATTTGTTAGTATCTTTCATTTCCGTTTCTGGTATGTGTTCTTTAACCGTTTTTA